GTTCGGTTTGTCGTGGGGGTCCAAGTCAAAGAAGATTCCAACCACAGCCAGGTTGTTGTCCTTGTCGCTGTGCAAAACATGCACTTCGAACGGGTATTGCTTGCCCCCGATAGTGTGTTCGCTGGGGGCGTGGCCGTGCAGTTGCAGCGACTGGTACACGTTGCCATTGACGGTCAAATGCGAGTGGGGGCCCGCCGACCAAGTGGCTCTGACGGTGGTGCCCTCATGCGACACCACAGCCGAAGCCGTGCTGAACGCGATGGAGAAGTTGCCGGTGTTGGCCACCGGCTTGGCGCAGACAGGCAAATCGATGGGGGACTGACTCATGAGTGTTTGGCCTGTCACGATGGCGACGGTGGCAGCGATGGCGTACACGAAGAACTTCATGAGGGCAGTTGGGGGGGAAATGAATTATGAGGAACGGATTCGGTTGATCACTGTGGGGTTGCGTTCTAAAAGTGTGTTGTTTGTGTGGGACATTTCTTGGAATGTGGAAGTGTGTTGTTTGTATGAGACATTTCTTGGATTGTGGACAGTTAGTTAGTTGCAAGACTGTATTGTACTATTGCAGTAATACTAGTATTACTGTAATAGTAACGTTACTACTACTAGGATGGTTCAAGTCGTCTAAAGACTACAAAAAGATGCCAGGTCTTTCGACAGCTATTCCAACTTTGTATTGATATTTTTAGGAAAATAAGCCGTAATAAGGATATAACTGGACGAGTCCAACAGAAGTACGCTTCAGATTTTCGATTGGTGAAACATTGATCGAGTAATAGAATTTAAACCAACCGGCCTTTTTGTATGGAAATATACCGGTATTGAGCCAGGCACATTTTGGTGGCCGAAAAGGTGCATCAAGCATACGTGGTCTTTGTATACAGCACTTATCCGTAGGAACGTTTCCATTGTATCCGGATTATTGAGGAGGTTAAACCTACTCCACGAGGTAACCGTAAACAACGTAACTATTAATAATAATGATTTAACGTCAAACTTTCGTGGGTTTAACTGAAAAAACCGAGGCGTTTAGTAGTAAAACGTCTTCTCCTGACTCTGGAAAAAAATATAAGGAAGCCTCATAAGCACAGTTTTTTCAAAAATGGACCAAACTCTACAGATTCGATACGAATAGACCAACCAATCCATGCAAAGCGAATATAATGTGACAATCTATTCGTGAAAACGTCAGCAGCAAAAAAACTACTACTACGTAGTATTAATAGTACTATGTAGTACGTAGAGTTCAAGCCCACTTACTTTATTCCATATTAAATTATTGATTCCAGTAGTAGTAGTACTAGTAGTGACACGAAAAGTAGTATGACACACAGTCAATTCACAGGGTCATTGCAATTTAGACAGAAAAATCATACTGTAAGCGAATGTTGTGAGCATGAATGAACTCTCCTTATACTACATAGTACTCGACAATGTCGCTCCGTGTAGAACTGTTGTATAGCTGAAAAGTTATGTCCGAAGTCGATATGCACCACGCGATTTAATGCGGGTTTCAGCGCGATGTCAAGAAGAATAACCCTGTCAACGCGGGTTATGTTCAACACTGTTCTTTGATGACAGCATAGTATTGCTTCCAGTAACTAATGTCTCATTTTGGCAAGCAAACTACGTCGAACAGGCCTGCAAACAATATTGGCTTGGCAATACTATCTACGGATAGTACCTCGAAGTAACGTTATACAAATCCTTGTATAATTGAGTATGTCTGTACTAACGTAAAAAACCAATTTAAGATAATTTTTTTGGAGGCGTCGGAGTAGAATGGACATAACTTTTGAGTCCGTTACGATATTTGAGTTTTGAATAGTGATTCCAATAGACAAGACGCGCCTCTTTCAGTTCATAATCGAATCATCAGTTTAGGCGATGAACTTCATAGGTAAATTTGTTACTTTCTAAGCATTTGTACTCACATTTTGATAACCAATTCAGGATAACTTTTTTTATCT